CTCCATATTACAAGTCCTACTGCCTCCCGAGAGACACGAGTGCCAGTGTATTACGTTGGTACTCGTGTCACGCAGAACACACTATAACTTGTGGTATGGAGACAATATTTATATGATTTAAGGACTGGGAGTTAGCACCACCAAAGAGTGGGTAGCATACAAGAATTAAATCTAAATTATTATGTATAAGTAGGTGACATAGTGGTCAGTGACTCTTCCTGTGGTAGGAGGTCCCTGACAGTGGGACAGTCAAGGCAGTAGTGTTGAGGGAAGTTAGCATTGGGACAGTTACTGAGTTTACAGGAAGAGAAGTGCAGGCCATCTCCCACCTCAGATACTAACCTAATGCTAAAAGAGACAACATTATATCTGCTGACCATAAGTCCACTTCGACGATACTTGTGTGGACGAGGAAGAAAGTGATCATAGTTTTGGGTGGATATATCTTCAGCCACTTCACTATGCCTGTGATGGATTGTAGGGAGAAGAGCGGCTTAACGTATTCCCTCTCAATAGGGTCATGTTGGGCTTATATTGAGGCCTAACAGATCATGATTGGACAGTCAGAGTTTGGAGAATCAGTTATTGATTAATCTCTTTTTTTTTTCTTTTTACTTTTATCCTCTTCACCACTGAACGACTCGTTAGCTGCTTGGGAGATCGGTCACGTCTGCGTTACGCACTGTTGGCAAGTACTGGCCTTGAACTGGCTCCTGAATGTACCTGAACCTGCTCCAGTGTTGGTCAAGTCTGGTCATGAAACAGCTCACACTCGGTGCCGTCACAACACTCTGGTAGATTGTTCCAAGAATTCACAACTCTCACTCCGAAAAAGTTACCCCTCACAGTTTTCTGGACTTGTGGCTTCTTCAACCTTGAGCTGTGACCCCTTGTGGGGCGAGCGTCTGCCAGCTCCAGGTAAGGACACTCGACTGAGTAGTGCCCCTTGAGATGCTTATTCACCTCAGTTAGGTCCCCACTTGCCCGTCTGTAGTATAAGCTAGACAAGTTCAGGCGCTCCAATCTCTCAGGGTAGCTGAGGAGTCGTAGTGCAGGCACCAGTCTGGTGGCCCTCCTTTGAACATTTTCTCGGGGACCAGACGGGGTGACAGTACTCCAAATGGGGAAGCACTTCACTCTTCAAGATCGTTATGAGGGACGGACCGTCTAGATGTCTGAACGACCTTCTTATAAGACATAATAATTTATTTGCCTGATTTACCTTCTTCTCACAATGGCCCGAGAACTTCAGCTCATTGTCAACATACAAACCTAGGTCCTTCTCACATTCAGTCTCAACTAGTGCAGTTTCTTCATCCCGTTGGGACATATGATACGCCTCCTTACCGTTGGCACGCCCCAGGTCCATCCTCTTACACTTCGTGACATTGAATCTCGGCAGCCATTTCTTCGACCATTCTTGGAGCCCACAGAGGTCCTTCTGCAGCTCTTCACAGTCCGCTTGGTTCTTGATTTCGCGAAATAACTCGGCGTCATGGGTAAACATTTGTATGGAGGAGTGTACAACGTCAGGCATGTCATTTATGAAACAAACAAATAACAGCGGGCCCAATACACTGTCCTGTGGTACCCCGCTTGTGACAGGTACAGATGATGATTTCCTGCCATTAATCACCACACACTGCTTGCGGTCATGTAGAAAGTCTACTATCCACCCTCGGACATTTCCCCGAATTCCGTACCCTTGAGTTTAATTTTCAGCCCAGTACTTGCCAACAGTGCCTAACAGAGACGTGACCGATCGCCCAAGCGGCTAACGAGTCAATCATTTGGTGAAGAGGATGAGAGTAAGTACCAGTAAGTCCTGGCCTCATGTCGCTTCCCATAACAGATTAGGGAAGGTTTTATGCTATTGTTACACTTTCCTGGATAAATTCTGGATAATACTATTCCTAATAAGTAAAAAAGTAAATTATTGACCTCCCGAACGGCTAGTAAGCAGATAAATGCTGAAAAATAAATCATTTTAAGCTTGGCATGATGTGTTATTGATAGACGTCGCTTATACAACAAAACCAAGACGAGGACGATACTCTATTGTTTAGTTATTTCACCATTTATCTGTTTATTTGCTATTCTGGCATTTAGTTCCGTATTTTATTAATTAATTATCACCTTAACTGTCCCGTGTTAGTACAGGAGGAACAGTAATTGGTAAAAAACACTAAATAACACCACGTTTTATTCTCAGGCTGTGGGACTTGAACACAGGACAAAATGATGAACGCCTTACATTATTACCAAAAGATATTAATATATCTAACATTAATATACAATATAAAACTATTTTATTTTGTTATCGTAGTAAAGTTAATTTATCATAATATAAGTCATTAAATTAGTTTATTAACACACTAAGACCATTGCGGCATGTTGGTGATCAACAACCAAAACTATTGTAAACAAACACGAGTGAGGCAGAACTTCTTCCTATTATTATGGCTAATTATCACCTTATTAGTTATTGGATAATGACTAATTCAGGTAAGTGTGTTGATTATAATACTAGTAACATATTTTATAGAGTTTAATATAGGAGTGAGTTGTTTAATGGTTATAATGAACTGTTATGTGTTGGTCCGGGATGATAATGGCGTCGGTGCTAAGAATTTTACCTTCATATCCGTCGGAAATGAGTGGTGGAGTTATCACCCTTCCTCCATACAACCTAACCTAACCAACCAAAGAAACCTAACCTATGTATGTCCTTGTTAAGGTAATAACTAGACACAGTACAGTAAGTAACACAAACTTGATCACTTTATTTACCGTATAATATATACTTATAGATATATACTGGTATATTATATATATTGTATGTATATACTGGTATATACCCAGAATATTCACTTAATAGTTGTAAATTAATGGTGTAACCTTCCTGTGCACTCCAGGCAGTCGTGACGATTGAGTCAACTACCTGGTCATCATCTGTGTTTTGTAAAAAAAATATAACCTGCCACAGACTACCCCAGGCTGATATAACCTGCCACAGACTACCCCACGCAGATATAACCTGCCACAGACTACCCCAGGCTGATATAACCTGCCACAGACTACCCCAGGCTGATATAACACACTGACTGACAACTTGTACAGAAAAAGGTGAGCATTTAGTCCTGTGTGTAATTATGGTGTTGAGGGATAACATTTGTAATATGATTCAAGTAAATATTCCATAAGAAGAGCTGTAGATCACTTGACTTAACCTCTTGAGTACAATTACCTTTGGCCCGACCCAACACCAGACACTGTATCAAGAGAGACCGCACCACCTCCCCACCTGACACTGTACAGTACTGGGGCTATAGATTATTAGAACACCCGAGATGTATTTGAATTAGGAGTGTACAATATGAATACAGTACCATTATTTCCCCACAGATTCTACTGCTATAAAGATCATCAGGTGCACCATGCTAAATACTGATAGTCACCAAAATGTTGGGTGTTGTCCAGTCTTTGTTCACTAACATGTATCTAAGACCGACTGGCCCACTGGCTCACCGACCCATCGGCAATATGCCCAAACTCCCGATAGGCCAGTCCGTCACTGGGTGACGATGTGTCATAAACCCTCATTAGCTGTAATTAAACCTTTGTAATTACTTTTAGAATATTTTCATTTTACACAAGTTGATTTAATCACTTGTAGTTTTCATTTATAAATTGTAATTTTTATAAAAATATTATCTAAGGCAAAATATTTTGTTTCAGATACTGTGATGTCACATCTCAAGACCAAGTGTAACTAAGAAGAAGTTCACAATGTCAAGCAGAGATAAAAAGTTCTCCTGTGAGGAATGTGGCAAACAGTTTTGTTTAAAGTCTACTCTTCAGACACATTTACTTATACACAATGGTATGAAGGAGTTTGAATGTGAGGAATGTGGGAAATGTTTCTCACAGAAGAGTCATCTTAAGAGACACATTCTTGGACACAGTGGTATAAAGGAGTTTGAATGTGAGGAATGTGGAAAATGTTTCTCAGAGAAGGGTAATCTCAAGAAACACATTCGTGGACACAGTGGTATAAAGGAGTTTGAATGTGAGGAATGTGGGAAATGTTTCTCACAGAAGAATGATCTCAAGAGACACATTCTTGGACACAGTGGTATAAAGGAGTTTGAATGTGAAGAATGTGGGAAATGTTTCTCACGCAAGAGTCATCTCAAGAGACATATTCTTGGACACAGTGGTATAAAGGAGTTTGAATGTGAGGAATGTCTGAAATGTTTCTCACGCAAGAGTGATCTCAAGGGACATATTCTTGAACACAGTGGTATAAAGGAGTTTGAATGTGAGGAATGTAGGATATGTTTCTCACGCAAGAGTCATCTCAAGAGACATATTCTTGGACACAGTGGTATAAAGGAGTTTGAATGTGAGGAATGTCTGAAATGTTTCTCACGCAAGAGTGATCTCAAGGGACATATTCTTGAACACAGTGGTATAAAGGAGTTTGAATGTGAGGAATGTGGGAAATGTTTCTCACGCAAGAGTGCTCTCAAGAGACACATTCTTGGACACAGTGGTATAAAGGAGTTTGAATGTGAGGAATGTGGGAAATGTTTCTCACAGAAGAGTGATCTCAAGAGACACATTCTTGGACACAGTGGTATAAAGGAGTTTGAATGTGAGGAATGTGGGAAATGTTTCTCCCGGAAGGGTCATCTCTGGACACACATTCTTGGACACAGTGGTATAAAGGAGTTTGAATGTGAGGAATGTGGGAAATGTTTCTCCTGGAAGGGTAATCTCAAGACACACATTCTTGGACACAGTGGTATAAAGGAGTTTGAATGTGAGGAATGTGGGAAATGTTTCTCACAGAAGAGTGATCTCAAGAGACACATTCTTCGACACAGTGTTATAAAGGAGTTTGAATGTGAGGAATGCGGGAAATGTTTCTCACAGAAGAGTGATCTCAAGATACACATTCGTGGACACAGTGGTATAAAGGAGTTTGAATGTGAGGAATGTTTGAAATGTTTCTCACGCAAGAGTGCTCTCAGGAGACACATTCTTGGACACAGTGGTATAAAGGAGTTTGAATGTGAGGAATGTGGGAAATGTTTCTCACGCAAGAGTGATCTCAAGGGACACATTCTTGGACACAGTGGTATAAAGGAGTTTGAATGTGAGGAATGTGGGAAATGTTTCTCACGGAAGAGTAATCTCACTACACACATTCTTGGACACAGAGGTATAACGGAATTTGAATGTGAGGAATGTGGGAAATGTTTCTCACGGAAGAGTAATCTCACTACACACATTCTTGGACACAGAGGTATAAAGGAGTTTGAATGTGAGGAATGTGGGAAATGTTTCTTACGCAAGGGTGATCTCAAGGGACACATTCTTGTACACAGTGGTATAAAGGAGTTTGAATGTGAGGAATGTGGGAAATGTTTCTCACGCAAGAGTGGTCTCAAGGGACATATTCTTGGACACAGTGGTATAAAGGAGTTTGAATGTGAAGAATGTGGGAAATGTTTCTCCCTGAATGGTAATCTCAAACGTCATAAACTTGTGCATGAAAAAAACAGAATTCAATAAATGTTTGAATGACTTTAACAGAAGGTAAATGTGCCACATAAACTTGAATACAGTGATATACATCAATATAAAACCACTTGAACAAACTCCATGAATGTAGCTGAAGTAAAGACAAGTGACAAATGCCACTTTTATAGTTATTAAACACAAGTTATAATTATTTGCTTTTAAGATGTAAATTTCTTCTACCATGGCCTTAGTGTATACATTTGGTGTTGGTTAAATATCACTCATAATAATTCTCCATTTTGTTTCATCAGCCTTTTTAATGTTATTTACAGTACAGTAGTAAGCAAAGGTAAAACTTATCATCTTTGTGCTTAAAATTTCATCTTCACTAGATAAGCTTTGTTGAACATTGATGAACTCTCATTTACTATAATTTGTGGATCAGTAGTTGTGTCAACTGTGTACGTCTGTCTTTATTTACACTTGACGTAAGTTTTGTTACAAGTACGTACATTAACACGGGTAGTAAATCATCTTGGTAAAGTAGTACAGTGGTGGTAGACCATTTGTTATAGTCAAGGTGTTGTCACTATCTCACGGAAACTCTTCAATCTCTGTTGAAATTGTACGTAAATATTTGATAAGTTTTGCTCAACTCTGACGAGATATTTTGATATTTTATCTTGACTAAAATGGTTGGTAGTTTTGATTCATGTTTTAAATATATTCTTTCATCACTTACAAATATATGGTACCATTGTCTGGTAAATAATGTTTAGGGTTCATATATAGTACCTGGTGTTATGGGGCAGATGAACTTTAACACCTCTTAACTGTATATAATATCATGTTTAATATATTGTTCAGTTAGCATCTTGGACCTTAGTTAGGTAACTCTTCTTGGTTATATATAAATGCTGAAATGTCAAACACTGGGTTAAAATTAGTTGTTTGATCATGTCAAGCAGAAGACTTGTTTAAATTAACATACAGTTTTTAGATATTTGCTGTTCTTATATACAACTTTTCCTAATAGTACTGGCATGTGTTTATCTAGCAATGGTGTTTTAAAAAATGATTGCTACAAGAATGTCATTAATTTTGTGCACCTGAATATATAGTTTTATGTTAATACAGGCTGTCCCCAACTTACAACAGGGATACATTCCTGGACCCATAGTTTAGGTTAGGTTAAAGCCCATACAAAACAACAATAATATCCCATATATAACAAATAATGTAATTAAGTGATGTTAAACAATATATAAGGATAAAAATAATGTAAAAAGTGGGATTTTAATTACAAGTTTTTGTGGTGAATGTATTGGGATCCCGTTCATAAGTGCGGGTGATGGTAAGTCGGACGGTCGTAACTCGGGGACTGCCTGTATTCACTTTATGTTTGGCCATGATGTGCCACAAACATTAATATCTTACAGAATGAGATATAAGTATTTAAACTATTGCTGAATATTTTATTACAACCCTAATATTGTAGAACAAGTGTACAGTAATGGCTGGTCTTCAGATACTGTATGTGGATGTACTAAATTAATATTGCTGTAATTGCCCTAAAATTCATTATGAGTAAAGAAGCATTAAAATAATAAGTTTTGTATTTATGGAATTTAATGAGCAGAAGATTCCATGGCTGGTTTATATTTTGAGTTGAGAGCCAAATGTTAGATTGGTCTGGACGACGCCCGGGGAGGAGCCAAGGTAATATTTATGATAATTTACTGTTTTATGACCGTAATTATTGCTGGAAATGATTCTAGATAGAATATTATTAAACAATATGATGGCAAGGGTTGAAGGTGACTGCCAATAACTCATAGAGATGAGTATTTTGTATAAATTTGGGTCACTTGTATATTACATTGTGTATACAGTAAACTGGAATCAGAATATATTATTTTTTGACATCATATCAATATTGTTTCCATATTACAAGTCCTACTGCGTCCCGAGAGACACGAGTGCCAGTGTATTACATTGGTACTCGTGTCACGCAGAACACACTATAACTTGTGGTATGGAGACAATATTTATATGATTTAAGGACTGGGAGTTAGCACCACCAAAGAGTGGGTAGCATACAAGAATTAAATCTAAATTATTATGTATAAGTAGGAGGTGACATAGTGGTCAGTGACTCTTCCTGTGGTAGGAGGTCCCTGACAGTGGGACAGTCAAGGCAGTAGTGTTGAGGGAAGTTAGCATTGGGACAGTTGTCATGATCGTGATGACGGCTAACCTGAAAACCTTAAGGATTCATATTATGCTCAAACGTCCACAAAACCTTCTGAGTCCCCCAGTGGAAACGTCCTCCGTTTTCTCTGTTCCTTGATGACGTCATCGATAGGCCGCCTTTGTTTAGACGCTGTATGTTGGGACCTGTTGCCATCCAACCCTTTGTAATCAATTTAATTTTGCTTTTGATAGCTGAGTCAGAGCATTGTTAGTGAAGATAATAGTAGGGAATGAAACTGAGTTCATAGTCTCAATTTCAACGTCAGTGTACAGTGAATTAATTCATCGGAATAGAAGTAGGTGGACTCCCTGGTCTGTTTTGAGTGAGGGCCCCGCGGGCATTTCTACCGTTAGTGAGTGCCCGTCCCTTCACCCATACAGGTATGCCATTCCACTCTGTGTTGTAATTCGCCCTTCTTTAAGTGATTTGACCCAATTTATAGTTGATTGTGCAAGTGTTACAGTAACGTAGTTGATATGCTCTGAGTGAAATCATATTTACGTCTTTAACGTCCCCTGAAACGTGATGTTGTTGTCACTGTTAGTGAGTGCCCGTCCCTTCATCCATACAGATCCCATTGTGATTCTTGAATCGCTCTACCATCCAACAACGGCCTCGGATGTATTAGATGTCCAGCCGGGATCATATATGAGAAGATGGCACCGATGCGGCCTGATTAATGTGCCCCACGGCTTCGTTGGGCCAGACCCCAGACCCGCCATGTGTCTGGCTACCCCACAATAACAACAGCCCCAGTGCTCTACCCTGGGTTACTCCTTGGAAGTATATGTCCACAGAGAGTGTTGTAACATGTATGTTAGGGATAATTAGTTGGAAATAATTATCCCATGTTGGGTAGTGGACCCCTGCATATACTAGTGTCATTGTTTACGTATATGTTGAATAATCTACAATGAGTGCCATGTAATGTACCACCAGTAATGTTGTGAGTAAGAGTAAAGAAGAAGGAACTGAGTTTGCACTAAGCCCAGGAGGTGAACCTGGTAATCATATGATTAATACAATATCTTTCCCCATTGATTGCACATTAATAAACTGGTTTTTAGAGTACTTTAGGTGTATTCATTTCTCCCACAGTATTTTACCTTTATTTCCATCCAAGTGACCTGATACCAAAATTACCATACTCACGTGCCTAGACCCTCGACCATGCTACCAAAAGAATGCCCAGGCTACCAAAGGAATGTCCATGCTACCCAAGAATAGGTGACGGAACTGAGTAAGAGTAAGAACTAAGAGAAGTAATTAAGATGAGGGTGGTGTAGAAACAGAGAGGGAGTCAGGCCCCCTCACATTGGTGGCAAGACCAAGAATCCGCCCCCTCACAGTTACTGAGTTTACAGGAAGAGAAGTGCAGGCCATCTCCCACCTCAGATACTAACCTAATGCTAAAAGAGACAACATTATATCTGCTGACCATAAGTCCACTTCGACGATACTTGTGTGGACGAGGAAGAAAGTGATCATAGTTTTGGGTGGATATATCTTCAGCCACTTCACTATGCCTGTGATGGATTGTAGGGAGAAGAGCGGCTTAACGTATTCCCTCTCAATAGGGTCATGTTGGGCTTATATTGAGGCCTAACAGATCATGGTTGGACAGTCAGAGTTTGGAGAATCAGTTATTGATTAATCTCTTTTTTTTTCTTTTTACTTTTATCCTCTTCACCACTGAACGACTCGTTAGCTGCTTGGGAGATCGGTCACGTCTGCGTTACGCACTGTTGGCAAGTACTGGCCTTGAACTGGCTCCTGAATGTACCTGAACCAGCTCCAGTGTTGGTCAAGTCTGGTCTTGAAACAGCTCACACTCGGTGCCGTCACAGCACTCTGGTAGATTGTTCCAAGAATTCACAACTCTCACTCCGAAAAAGTTTGCCCTCACAGTTTTCTGGACTTGTGGCTTCTTCAACCTTGAGCTGTGACCCCTTGTGGGGCGAGCGTCTGCCAGCTCCAGGTAAGGACACTCGACTGAGTAGTGCCCCTTGAGATGCTTATTCACCTCAGTTAGGTCCCCACTTGCCCGTCTGTAGTATAAGCTAGACAAGTTCAGGCGCTCCAATCTCTCAGGGTAGCTGAGGAGTCGTAGTGCAGGCCCCAGTCTGGTGGCCCTCCTTTGAACATTTTCTCGGGGACCAGACGGGGTGACAGTACTCCAGGTGGGGAAGCACTTCACTCTTCAAGATCGTCACGAGGGACGGACCGTCTAGATATCTGAACGACCTTCTTATAAGACCCAATAATTTATTTGCCTGATTTACCTTCTTCTCGCAATGGCCAGAGAACTTCAGCTCATTGTCAACATACACTCCTAGGTCCTTCTCACATTCAGTCTCAACTAGTGCAGTTTCTTCATCCCGTTGGGACATATGATACGTCTCCTTACTGTTGGTACGCCCCAGGTGCATCCTCTTACACTTCGTGACATTGAATCTCGGCAGCCATTTCTTCGACCATTCTTGGAGCCCACAGAGGTCCTTCTGCAGCTCTTCACTGTCCGCTTGGTTCTTGATTTCGCGAAATAACTCGGCGTCATCGGTAAACATTTGTATGGAGGAGTGTACAACGTCAGGCATGTCATTTATGAAACAAACAAACAACAGCAGGCCCAATACACTGCCCTGTGGTACCCCGCTTGTGACAGGTACGGATGATGATTTCGTGCCATTAATCACCACACACTGCTTGCGGTCATGTAGGAAGTCTGCTATCCACCCTCGGACATTTCCCTGAATTCCGTACCCTTGAGTTTAATTTTCAGCCCAGTACTTGCCAACAGTGCCTAACAGAGACGTGACCGATCGCCCAAGCGGCTAACGAGTCAATCATTTGGTGAAGAGGATGAGAGTAAGTACCAGTAAGTCCTGGCCTCATGTCGCTTCCCATAACAGATTAGGGAAGGTTTTATGCTATTGTTACACTTTCCTGGATAAATTCTGGATAATATTATTCCTAATAAGTAAAAAAGTAAATTATTGACCTCCCGAACGGCTAGTAAGCAGATAAATGCTGAAAAATAAATCATTTTAAGCTTGGCATGATGTGTTATTGATAGACGTCGCTTATACAACAAAACCAAGACGAGGACGATACTCTATTGTTTAGTTATTTCACCATTTATCTGTTTATTTGCTATTCTGGCATTTAGTTCCGTATTTTATTAATTAATTATCACCTTAACTGTCCCGTGTTAGTACAGGAGGAACAGTAATTGGTAAAAAACACTAAATAACACCACGTTTTATTCTCAGGCTGTGGGACTTGAACACAGGACAAAATGATGAACGCCTTACATTATTACCAAAAGATATTAATATATCTAACATTAATATACAATATAAAACTATTTTATTTTTTTATCGTAGTAAAGTTAATTTATCATAATATAAGTCATTAAATTAGTTTATTAACACACTAAGACCATTGCGGCATGTTGGTGATCAACAACCAAAACTATTGTAAACAAACACGAGTGAGGCAGAACTTCTTCCTATTATTATGGCTAATTATCACCTTATTAGTTATTGGATAATGACTAATTCAGGTAAGTGTGTTGATTATAATACTAGTAACATATTTTATAGAGTTTAATATAGGAGTGAGTTGTTTAATGGTTATAATGAACTGTTATGTGTTGGTCCGGGATGATAATGGCGTCGGTGCTAAGAATTTTACCTTCATATCCGTCGGAAATGAGTGGTGGAGTTATCACCCTTCCTCCATACAACCTAACCTAACCAACCAAAGAAACCTAACCTATGTATGTCCTTGTTAAGGTAATAACTAGACACAGTACAGTAAGTAACACAAACTTGATCACTTTATTTACCGTATAATATATACTTATAGATATATACTGGTATATTATATATATTGTATGTATATACTGGTATATACCCAGAATATTCACTTAATAGTTGTAAATTAATGGTGTAACCTTCCTGTGCACTCCAGGCAGTCGTGACGATTGAGTCAACTACCTGGTCATCATCTGTGTTTTGTAAAAAAAAATATAACCTGCCACAGACTACCTCAGGCTGATATAACCTGCCACAGACTACCCCAGGCTGATATAACCTGCCACAGACTACCCCAGGCTGATATAACCTGCCACAGACTACCCCAGGCTGATATAACCTGCCACAGACTACCCCAGGCTGATATAACACTGCTGACTGACAACTTGTACAGAAAAAGGTGAGCATTTAGTCCTGTGTGTAATTATGGTGTTGAGGGATAACATTTGTAATATATTCAAGTACATATTCCATAAGAAAAGCTGTAGATCACTTGACTTAACCTCTTGAGTACAATTACCTTTGGCCCGACCCAACACCAGACACTGTATCAAGAGAGACCGCACCACCTCCCCACCTGACACTGTACAGTACTGGGGCTATAGATTATTAGAACACCCGAGATGTATTTGAATTAGGAGTGTACAATATGAATACAGTACCATTATTTCCCCACAGAACTGCTATGATCATCCACCATGACTCACCCCAGTCTTTGCTAAGATGTATCTAAGACCGACTGGCCCACTGGCTCACCGACCCATCGGCAATATGCCCAAACTCCCGATGGGCCAGTCCGTCACTGGGTGACGATGTGTCATAAACCCTCATTAGCTGTAATTAAACCTTTGTAATTACTTTTAGAATATTTTCATTTTACACAAGTTGATTTAGTCACTTGTAGTTTTCATTTATAAATTGTACTTTTTATAAAAATATTATCTAAGGCAAAATATTTTGTTTCAGATACTGTGATGTCACATCTCAAGACCAAGTGTAACTAAGTAGAAGTTCACAATGTCAAGCAGAGATAAAAAGTTCTCCTGTGAGGAATGTGGCAAACAGTTTTGTTTAAAGTCTACTCTTCAGACACATTTACTTATACACAATGGTATGAAGGAGTTTGAATGTGAGGAATGTGGGAAACATTTATCATCTAAGAGTACTCTCAAGAAACACATTCTTGGACACAGTGGAATAAAGAAGTTTGAATGTGAGAAATGTGGAAAACGTTTTGCACAAAAGAGTAATCTCAAGAGACACATTCTTGGACATAGTGGAATAAAAAAGTTTCAATGTGAGGAATGTGGGAAATGTTTCTCACAGAAGAGTGATCTTAAGAGACACATTCTTGGACACGGTGGTATAAAGGAGTTTGAATGTGAGGAATGCAAGAAATGTTTCTCACACAAGAGTGCTCTCAAGGGACACATTCTTGTACACAGTGGTATAAAGGAGTTTGAATGTGAGGAATGTGGGAAATGTTTCTCAAGGAAGAATCATCTCAACAGACACATTCTTGGACACAGTGGTATAAAGGAGTTTGAATGTGAGGAATGTGGGAAATGTTTCTCAGAGAAGCGTGATCTCAAGAGACATATTCTTGGACACAGTGGTATAAAGGAGTTTGAATGTGCGGAATGTGGGAAACATTTTGCAGAAAAGCGTCATCTCAAGGGACACATTCTTGGACACAGTGGTATAAAGGAGTTTGAATGTGAGGAATGTGGGAAATGTTTCTCACGCAAGAGTGCTCTCAAGAGACACATTGTTGGACACAGTGGTATAAAGAAGTTTGAATGTGCGGAATGTGGGAAACGTTTTGCAGAAAAGGGTCATCTCAAGGTACACATTCTTGGACACAGTGGTATAAAGGAGTTTGAATGTGAGGAATGTGGGAAATGTTTCTCACGCAAGAGTGCTCTCAAGAGACACATTGTTGGACACAGTGGTATAAAGAAGTTTGAATGTGCGGAATGTGGGAAACGTTTTCCAGAAAAGGGTCATCTCAAGGTACACATTCTTGGACACAGTGGTATAAAGGAGTTTGAATGTGAGGAATGTGGGAAATGTTTCTCACGCAAGAGTGCTCTCAAGAGACACATTCTTGGACACAGTGGTATAAAGGAGTTTGAATGTGAGGAATGTCTGAAATGTTTCTCACGCAAGAGTGATCTCAAGGGACATATTCTTGAACACAGTGGTATAAAGGAGTTTGAATGTGAGGAATGTGGGAAATGTTTCTCACGCAAGAGTGATCTCAAGGGACATATTCTTGAACACAGTGGTATAAAGGAGTTTGAATGTGAGGAATGTGGGAAATGTTTCTCACGCAAGAGTGCTCTCAAGGGACATATTCTTGTACACAGTGGTATAAAGGAGTTTGAATGTGAGGAATGTGGGAAATGTTTCTCACGGAAGAGTAATCTCACTACACACATTCTTGTACACAGTGGTATAAAGGAGTTTGAATGTGAGGAATGTTTGAAATGTTTCTCACAGAAGCAGAATCTCAAGAGCCACATTCTTGTACACAGTGGTATAAAGGAGTTTGAATGTGAGGAATGTGGGAAATGTTTCTCACAGAAGAATGTTCTCAAGAGACATATTCTTGAACACAGTGGTATAAAGGAGTTTGAATGTGAGGAATGTGGGAAATGTTTCTCACGCAAGAGTGATCTCAAGGGACATATTCTTGTACACAGTGGTATAAAGGAGTTTGAATGTGAGGAATGTGGGAAATGTTTCTCACGCAAGAGTCATCTCACTACACACATTCTTGGACACAGTGGTATAAAGAAGTTTGAATGTGAGGAATGTGGGAAATGTTTCTTACGCAAGGGTGATCTCAAGGGACACATTCTTGGACACTATGGTATAAAGGAGTTTGAATGTGAGGAATGTGGGAAATGTTTCTCACGCAAGAGTGATCTCAAGGGACATATTCTTGTACACAGTGGTATAAAGGAGTTTGAATGTGAGGAATGTGGGAAATGTTTCTCACGGAAGAGTAATCTCACTACACACATTCTTGTACACAGTGGTATAAAGAAGTTTGAATGTGAGGAATGTGGAAAATGTTTCTCCCAGAAGGGTCATCTCAAATGTCATAAACTTGTGCATGAAAAAAACAGAATTCAATAAATGTTTGAATGACTTTAACAGAAGGTAAATGTGCCACATAAACTTGAATACAGTGATATACATCAATATAAAACCACTTGAACAAACTCTATGAATGTAGCTGAAATAAAGACAAGTGACAAATGCCACTTTTATAGTTATTAAACACAAGTTATAATTATCTGCTCTTAAGATGTAAATTTCTTCTACCATGGCCTTAGTGTATACATTTGGTGTTGGTTAAATATCACTCATAATAATTCTCCATTTTGTTTCATCAGCCTTTTTAATGTTATTTACAGTACAGTAGTAAGCAAATGTAAAACTTATCATCTATGTGCTTAAAATTTCATCTTCACTAGATAAGTTGTGTTGAACATTGATGAACTCTCATTTACTATAATTTGTGCTTCACTAGTTGTGTCAAACGTATTCGTCTGTCTTTATTTACACGTGACGTAAGTTTTATCACAAGTACGTACATTAACACGGGTAGTAAATCATCTTGGTAAAGTAGTACAGTGGCGGTAGACCATTTGTTATAGTCAAGGTGTTGTCACTATCTCACGGAAACTCTTCAATCTCTGTTGAAATTGTACGTAAATATTTGATAAGTTTTGCTCAATTCTGACGATATATTTTGATATTTTATCTTGACTAAAATGGTTGGTAGTTTTGATTCATGTTTTAAATATATTCTTTCATCACTTACAGATATATGGTACCATTGTCTGGTAAATAATGGTTAGGGTTCATATATAGTACCTGGTGTTATGGGGCAGATGAACTTTAACACCTCTTAACTGTATATAATATCATGTTTAATATATTGTTCAGTTAGCATCTTGGACCTTAGTTAGGTAACTCTTCTTGGTTATATATAAATTCATCCTTGAACAGTCATTTTCTTAAAGTAGCCAATGCTGAAATGTCAAACTCTGGGTTAAAATTAGTTATTTGATCATGTCAAGCAGAAGACTTGTTTAAATTAACATACAGTATTTAGATATTTGCTGTTCTTATATACAACTTTTCCTAATAGTACTGGCATGTGTTTATCTAGCAATGGTGTTTTAAAAAATGATTGCTACAAGAATGTCATTAATTTTGTGCACCTGAATATATAGTTTTATGTTAATACAGGCTGTCCCCTGTGGTGTGGTGGATGTAATCCTAGACAAGGTTCTTGAAACTCCAGGGCACGAGCAGTAGGTATATTCAATAAGTGGTACAAGGCTGGGCGTGATAGCCAACCGATACAGGAGCGATTACTAGGGACCCCGGACCGTAGGTAGGCCGAGGCCGATCTGAGGGAAATTAGCTAGCCAGGCAAAGAGAGTTGCTAGACATTCCTAGGACAATAAATGAGGTCTTCTAATTACTCGACTAGCGCGGTACAGACATAGTACATCGGGACATAGTAAATGGACATAGGCATTAGACATAAGCATAGACATCAGACATGCTATAATAATATGTAGTAATACAGACATGTGAATAAATGGTACAATGAATGGTAACAAGAGTCCTGGTGTCAGGCGTGTTCACATATCTTGGTATGTACATATCTATACACCTCCCTCCCCCTTTACGCTCGTAGTGCAATCTCGAGCGGCTACGGACTCTTTTCCCATGAGTCGGGGGGAGCAGCGAGGGACAATGGGAGGATCAACTGACGACCTTCGTTCCTGGTCTGGGCAAGGGGACATAGGGGACGGGGAGGAAGGTTCGTCACTAGAGGGTGGCACTGGGCGGAGGTGGCGTCTGTTTCGCCACCACACACGACCACTGGGGAGGCGGACTTGGTACGAACGAGGCTCGCCACGGCCCATGACGACCCCAACCTTGTCCCAGCGGTGTGACGTCGGGTCCTGGATTCGTACTTGCTGGCCGACGGCCAACCTGGGAAGGGGGCGGGCTTGGGCGTCATAGTGGCTTGTCACTTGGGCCATCCGGGCAGCCTCACGGCGGTCACACTCGTCCGCCTTGATCTGCCATTCATCTAAGAAGGACTGGGGGTGGGCAGGCACACAAGTACGAAGGGGGCGGCCATACAACACCTGGGCAGGAGAGCGTCCGGCAGGGGTAGGGGTGTTACGGAGTTCCAGTAGGCCCCTGTCGAACTCCTCGCAGTCCAGGTTCCCCGTCGGTGCTGTCTTGAGGATGAGGTATTTTACGGACTTTACCGCTGCCTCGGCGTGGCCATTCGCCTGCGGGTAATGAGGGGAGGTGACGATGTGGTGGACGCCCCAGCGTTCGGCGAAGCTCTTGAACTCGTGGCTATTGAACGGGGGCCCACCGTCGGTTCGGAGGCGGAGAGGCACTCCGACTTCCCGGAAGAAGCAACAAAACATCCGGATGACCCTGGAAGAGGTGGTGTCCCGACCACAGGGAACTACCACGGGCCATCCAGAGAGCCTGTCGGCGACCACCAGGAAAGACTTTCCGGCCACATTAAAGAAGTCGGCGGACACGGATTCAAAGGGCCGCTTTGGGAGGTCATTGCACAGGTACGGCTCTTGTTGCTGGCTGGGCTGGAGTTGCTGGCAAGGCTCACAGGCCTCAACCATGCTCTTAATATCGGCGTCAATACCAGGCCAGAAGACGGTCTGACGGGCTCTGCGCCTGGTGGCTTCAACGCCGCGGTGGCTGTCATGGAGGCGGGATAAGGTGCGCCGGCGGAGGGCAGCGGGAACGACGATCCTGGGGCCGTACAACACCAGCTCTCCGTCCGCATAGAGGCTATCCCTTAGCTTCCAGAAGGGGAGGGCGGAGGCGTGAATGTCGTAGCGGTTGGTGGGGAATCCAGCGGAGACGTAGTCGAGGAGTTGGACGTATGCCGGGTCTTGAGCGGCGGCGATGCGAAGCTCCTGGAGAGTCCTATCGTCTTCGATGGAGGGCGTCGTCGTCGTCTTGTCAGCAAGGGAAGTGGCTGTGTGTGTCACTAAAGACCGAACGCGAGCAGCGGCCGTGGTACAGTCGACTTCATCTTCAGGTGTGGGGCGACTAACAGGGGCTCGGGAGAGGGCGTCTGGTATGCACAGAAGCTTCCCGGCGCGCCACACAGCTGTAAAGACGTAAGGGGCGGTCTTCTCTTTGAGACGTTGGAGGCGAGGATTTTCGATGGCGTCCAACGTGTAGTGATTAAGAATGGGTATGAGCGGGCGATGGTCCGTCATGAGGGTGAAATGCCCAAGGCCGAACAGGTAAAGGCGTCACTTGGCCATAGCCCAGGCGACTGCCAGCATCTCTAGTTCAATGGTGGCGTATCTGGTCTCCGTGTCCGTCAAAAACCTGGAGCCACACTGAACTAAGCACAGTCTACCCTGGCCGTGGTCTTGAAGGAGGGCATATCCGAGGCCGTATAGACGGGAGGCGTCGGTCTGGAGGACCACTGGTAAGGACGGGTCGAAGGGTGCCAGGACTGGTGGTGACAGCAACGTCTTCTTAACATTCCTGAACGCTAGGTCGTGGTCAGGAGTCCAGAGGAAGGAGCGCTTGGGGCTCATGAGGGGGCGTAGAGGTTGGGCTGATGTGGCGATTTTAGGGGAGAAGTCGGCCAGCTGATTTACCAGGCCCATAAATGAGCGAAGGTCGGTCAGGTTCGCTGGAGTAGGGAAGTCCCTGATGGCCTTGACCTTCTCCTCATCAGCTGAGATCCCCTCTGGCGAGATGTTGTAGCCGCAGTAGTTAACTTGGGAGGTGGCGACCACAAATTTATCTTTGTTCAGGGTGATACCATGGGCACGACATCTTGTGAGCATCAGATGAACTCGGTTCAAGTGGGCCGGGAGATCATCGTCGAAGAGCAGGATGTCATCTACGACCTTCACGCAGTTGGTGACACCCTGCAGAGCCATATCCCCACGGAGGCAGTACGCATTCCCCGTTGCTGCGAAGCCCATGGGTCCGCGGCAGTGTTGGAAGCGGCCGTAGGGCGTGATGAATGTAGTGAGGTGGCGATCTTCTTCCGCCAGGTCGACTTGCCAGTA